AAATTCTTCAGGAGTTCACAGGCAGTTTACCTGAGCACTATGAACGCGATTGTAAAACGAGTTAAGAGCCAACGGTCATAAATTCCCTTGAACTTCAATGTTGAGCCGCCCTGAGTTGTTGCATTTGTGCTTGAGTCTTCAGTCCTGCTCTGTTGAACAACGCGTCCTCGAGTATATACGTATCGTACGAAAATGGCAACCATACATAGGGAACCGAACGCCAGGCTTATCATCACTATTTGGGTCAGCCATTAGACACACGAATGATAACGTAAATGAGATAATGAGAACTTACAGACAACATTGGCTAAGAAAAAGAAGGCGGCAGTTGACTTTTGTACCGCTTGGACTCGAAGAAGGCAAATCGTAAGAATTGGTAGCACAACTGACATGATTCTCCCAATAGAATTCATGCGGTTAAGGAATTCTTTGAGGCGATACCGGTTAGTTAGCTCATATACAGATTGCATCAATGAAAAGGCCCTATAAATACACATATTAATGAGATTCTTCTTGGCAATATGAAGTTAACGTACCAGAATACGACAAGCAGGGATTCAGCAGAGTAAGCGTATTGTCCTAGAAGTAACATCAGCGATATGGTTCGCCGTCTTCAAATTCCCAGAGAACGTACGGAAATACCACAGGCCAAGGTCCAGACCTATAGCACCGTTGGAAATTTTGATCTCAGGGCTTTCCGGATGGGCTCTCGCATACTGCCATTGCGCCGTCATAACATCGTTATATAGTACAAAGTCGTGAAACTGGGAGACAATAGATGATGCCGTGCTTAGGAGCGTAAGGTACGCCAAACCCGCAACATCTAGACTATGTTAGTGTATGTTAAGTGGAATCCATTCGACAATGGAACGCACAGCTTGTTCGTTCTTGGTGGCTCCAAACAAGCCATACCATCAAACCGCTACATATTAATGCGAAGAACGAGAATACGAGCACGCCCACGGCGTCCCCGAGAACTTCGGCCGGGAGTTGGAAAGCCATCGCGATGACATTAGTGCCGTTTACTTGGCTCCAGTATCATGGTTGATATTCTTTCCCGCCGAGAAACGTGGAGTAGTCATGACTAACAAGCCCATGATCTTGCGGACAATGCATTATTATATAGAGCAAGAACGGCCGAATAGGCTCCGACCGGGCGGCGACTATACCTGCTGCAGCAGGATTATGCATTGCTAGGCGCATTCCCAATGTTCCGGTCTCTTTTAGTAATATGGGGCCAACCCCCATGCCGGCGATGTAACGGATCTGGGGTAATGGGCGGACATATGGAGGATTGGGGAAGGGTTCTCTTGTCAACGCAAGTTAGATCTTCCCTCCCTCGCATGCAAAACATCCACAGGCACCATAGGGGTTAACTAGATTTGCCAGTGCCGAGCCAAGAGTTGTACTGCAACCTTGCCCCTTCGACCCCTGAGGAGCATACTATTATTCATAATAACTGTTCGCGGGGCTCACACCATACTAGAAGAGTATGTTAGGCCCGCCAGGCTAGACTTTGCTTTTCCCAGCTGGAATATTCAGAGCGGTTCTATCTATGTAAATCCAGTCGTTATATTATGAGCTAGCACGGCATCGTGCCCCTCATCGTCAAGATTTCGGCCTGAACTAGCTGCGCGGCGTTTTACACTAAACTTAGTTGAAAGACGCGGCGTTAGCAATGTTGAGTATAAATGGGTGAGCAGCAAGCTCCTCTGCCATCTACCTTGTTTGCATACCCCCGATCCAGAATTTAGCTAACGGCGATATGCCGCATCAAAGTTGATTCGCAAACGTAAATATATATTCCGGTACAGTTAGGAGGGCCTCATTCTGTCAGCTCGGCTATGCCGCTGTAGAATAAAACCGAAAATAACTTAAAGGGAATCTCTCTCCTAACTTAGTTTAACAAGATATCCAACTTGCCTCATTATTCTTCCTAACATATCGTCCCTGTACGTTTCTCTTAGGGACTATATCGCCATTTGCGATCTTTTCTTTGGGGTGAAATTTTACCCTGGGGGCCTTGCTACTCACAGTTTTTAATTATTTCCTGCGAGACTATATTGTTTCCATAACCTTAAACTGCTAAGCCGTAGCCACTTTACCACCGGCGAAGGACCCCCTGGTTCAGTTTTGACAGACTTGCCCCGAACTTAACCTAATTCTCACCGAAGTCGGTGACCCATCGATGTTGTAAGAGTTCCTGAGTCGAACTCCGCTCACTTGGCTCGAGATGGAAGATGAAGCTCATAAAATCGATAAACGCTATCAATTCAGCCTCTTCCATTCCTTTGGGCTTTGCCTCTTGAATAGCTTCGGCGAGGGGTAGGTCGGATTCGTCTTCTGGATACGGATCTATCAGACGGCCATCGGACGTGAGGTAGCGATCTGAATCCAACCACCCCGTCCGTAGCGAGTCGGGCATAGGCCCAAGACTCTCGATAAAACTGCATATATGGTCTAGGTTTGTCTCGTCAATGCTGCCCCAGTACTCAGGGGCGAAAAGTGGCAGTCCCGTCACAATGCGGTATATTACACACCCGAGCGCCCATATGTCGGCCTTGCAAGTCACTGGAGCCGCCTCCATCACCACCTCAGGCGCGCGGTACGGTATTGGATACGCGAATTTCCGACTTGCGGCATTAGCCGGGCTAGTGGAGGCACCGAGATCGACCAGCATGATATTGGCATCCGTCGGACCATCCGCCGATATTTCAATCCTATCATCGAGTGTGAAGGGATCGTCGGGGTCATTCAGCTCGTTGCCTCGCGTGTTCTTTGCCTTTATGTCGGCTTCAGAATCATTGTTGATGTCATAAGTCAATGTGAAGACCAGGTTTCCCGTGTGAACGTCGCCGTGCATGATGTCCTGCTGGTGGAGATAATCCAGAGATTTTAAGGCTTGAATCGAAATTCGACGGCAGAGAGAATAGGGCGCAGGATTCTTCTCATCAAAATCGGACAGTACATTTTCCACATGCCGCCCGAGCGGCGGGAAGACGAGGCAAACATGTAATCCACTCGGCCCCTTGTGGACAAAATCGTCTAAGAGCTTGATAACGTGGTCCTTTCCTGGGTGGAAAGGGAGGGGGTGTTCCCTGAGCTTTTTGAACATAGATGTTTCCCGTAACTGTTCTTGAAGCATACAGGTACGGCCAATTTTGATAGCGACGTACCGATTGTCCTTGAAGTCTCGAGCCAGCCACACCGAGGAGTTTTTACCCTCTCCGACCTTGCGGAACGGAAGGTAGCGAGTGTCTTTGAGTGTCTCTCCAGGACGAAGGGTAATGAATGAAGCGGCTACGGTACGCTTCTGATCTTCAGCATCTTCAAGCGCTGACGGGAGAAGCGGCTCGGGATCTGGTTGTGTCGTCGTGATATTAGTCTCAATATGGGACATGTTGATAAAATTAGTAAAAAGGAATAGGATCTAATGAATGAAGTAAACACGCTTGGGAAGAGAATGTTATGAGGTATTTAGGAAAAACCTTTGCTAATCACGTTGGTATTACCAGGGCTTTGTGACAGGATGAAGGTACTCGGTTTTGGATACTTTATGATCATTTACAGACCGCTTAGCTATATGGTCACTTGACTTGTAACTGACTGTCCACACTTATACGCTTAGATTATCTGTTACGAGGGGCCCAAAAAAACCAGCATAATCATATCGTTTCGCAAAAGATTAGAACACTCTCTTTGTTTCCATGTACCGTATAATTTACCTATCATCTCTGACGTTTCTGTGTACACAAAAATTGGTTCGAAAGCCTTCTACCTGATAACATGAAAATGATTCCAAGTAAGTATATATAAGGTAAAATAAATTATTTAAAGTCACCTATCGAGATCCGGTGTACCATTACTGAGCTCATTTGATATAAGCATGTAATGCATGTTTAAGGCAGGTCTATCTCAATCTATCTCAATCTAACCAAACCATTCAGCTGGCATGGGCTTAGGTACTATAAAGAGCTGAAGAGCTGAGCTGCTAATCCAGAAAATAGAACAAAGAAGCTGCTTGTATGGGTTTGTCCACACTGCTCTGCATGGTCACCCAGGTAGTTTAGTTCCTCGCGCAACAACAATAACGCTCTCCTCTGTCTAAGGGCTCGCATCGTGACAGGTGCTGTTGATAATGATAGATGATTAGACATGGTGCATGGGAGTTCTTCTAGATTTAAGCGACATCATTATAGGTAGGAGTGGTTTAAACATGATTGCTCAAGGGTTTCTCCTTTAAAGGCTTTTAGGGCGTCCACGACCGTTTCATAATTCGTCCGCAGTTGATCCCTGTCCCCTAGTATCACCTTACCAGAACCTCTGTCTTACAGCTCGTTACTACAAACCAACACGATAGTCACTACCATAAAGACCACACTCGACTTGCTCTGTCTGTTCTAAGCTTGTGACGGCTTCTTCGCCTATATAACTTCAGAAAGGCTGATATCCTTCTGCTAACAGTCTGACAAGTTTTTACTATTTAGGAGTTATCCCCGAAGAGTCTATCACAATAGGAGAGTACCATGGTCAGCAAATTGAAGAAAAAAGATTAGTCGACAAGGCACACATAACTCAGTCTTTTGTCTCATTAATTTTAGGAATATTTTGGTGATAAAATCGATCAAATGGTTCGCAGAACGAGTAAATCTCCGTCATGTAATTACCTATGTATAGTGATCGATAGCTCTCTTGAGCTAAGCACCTCAAGCTACATTGCTGTTATGAGTAGTTGACTTTGTTTTTTAAACACTACTATAAACCTTTAAAAAGGAGGCGTTTTGTGAGAGTCGCCGTGATCCGGCTTGACATCTATCGAACCTTTAGTGGGGCCAAGTATGGTATGGTAATACATTAGTATCGTGTTGCAAATTACAATGTAAAATTTTGAGAGCAAACACTGCATCAGTTAAAGAAAAACAAAAGAAAAAAGAATTTATTATGATGTGAGAAAATCCTTCTATGGCAAAATGGAAAACAAATAAAGAAAAAAAATATAACGCCCGAGGGGGGTCTCGAACCCCCAACCTTCGGATGGACCTTTTCCTCTACAATTGAGTGGATTAAAAGTCCGACGCTCTAGCCAATTGAGCTACCCGGGCATGATTTGACCGTGAGTCTAGTTTGGAATCTGAAGTATCTTAGACAGTACTAATATAGCTTGAAATCCTTGACGTTAGGCAACTTTTTGTTGAAATCGGTCTCCTTGCATTCTTTAGTTTTCGACCGCTGTGCACATTTTTGCTTTTCTATACAACTTTTTCATAATATAAATGGCTTTTTGTGGGGTAACGTCCCTTTTTTCTACATTTGCTGGTTGAAAGCCCCGCATCATTGAGCATCATTGATTTTGCCGATGGAACCTTTCTCCTGGCTCTATCCGCCTCCTGCACTCTTTTCTCCAGATTTATCTTTCTCTTCCCAACAACGACCTTCTTTAGCGCCTATATATGCAAGGCTTTCCTTTAATTTTTTCTTTCTCACATCCATATACCGAGTGTTCAATTGTAATCACTGCTGCGATTCCTCTTGGTTCCTTATTGGTGTTATTTACATCTTTGTCGACATTACTTGCTGCGCGCTTAATGGTTGGGGGCCGGAAGGGTTATTGGAGTAGGTTACGAGGAGACCGCCTACATAAGTACGAAACTGAAGACCAATATAATGACTAAATAACAACCAAACGCAATGAGAATAAATAACTCTAAACTCTAGGGTAAAGCAAAAGCCGATACAGTTGAAATAAGGTAGAGGGTCTAAATAATACGCAGTGAGTTACTGGGTTGGGGTTGCATTAAAAGAATTGATTCTACACAGAAATGTGTGATTAAACCACCTATGTAGGTATTGAACTGGAGATAGAGGAGACCCCCTACCAACAGTTGTATGAGGCTGTGAGGGACTAGGGACTGAGGTCCCTAGTCTACGACACCCAACCATCATACTGTTTATTTGAAATAGAGACATAAAAGATTCGAAAAGCAAAGGAATGTATTGATCTAATCTGTATAGTAACGCCGACATGCCATGATATAAAAGAAAGAAACTATCGCAAACTTGTAATGCATCGCGAACTATATACACAATTGTGGTCCCTAGTTCCCCTAGTCCCCACATCAGTATATACTAGGATTTTCTTTTTTCTTTTTTTTTGAAAAAAAAAAAGAGAAAATAACAAGTTGTACATAAAATGGACGTAGTCGATATATTCATTACTCGATGCCACGGGTGTAGTTAAACCGGCATGTATGATACTGATCAGACCTGGCATCCGATCCTTCGTTATGCAAACCTGTAGGTGATCCGCGACAAGGAAGAACAAGATACCAACTGTGATACATCTAGACTATCCCAAACTGCTATAGATATAAGCTTAATTTTTTTTGCCGGTAATTTGGGACCGTGAGTAGGTATGAGAAATAATTATTATAGGAAACAGATCCGTGATAAGCCGTCTAGTTGTAGGCTTCTCTGCTTTCACCGATAACAGACAAAACCCGTCAACAATACATATAGATGTTCGACCCCTTCACTTCGACCCCTTCACTTCAACCCAGCGGGTTCTTACACCCGAGGTTGTTACCTCAACGGCAAGTCTCCTGCCGTAGCTTAAAAACAACCTTGGTAGCTCGATCAATCACTAATTCAACGGCCAGACCTAGGCGGATATAAACGTTGTTCGATACAGCATAGTGTTGTTCTAACTTGAAATACCGTTGGCGCCGAAAAATAGAGGATCGGGAACTCGGACCGAGCTGCACACCTACGTAAGCTCTGGTAATTAGTTAAGTCTTTTCGACCGTTAGCGCGACGGCCACTTTCCGCAATGGCCCTCAATTAGATGTAAGTAATTTGAGAGGTATCAAGACTGATTAAAGTGTCTGAGCTTGGATAGCTTCAAAGTATTGAACGGTATTTGCTTTCATTATTTATAGAATCCAAGGAGTATGTAGTTTGGATATGTAACCTAGTGTATATATAAACTTGGAAGATTACCAATGTGTATACTCTTCTTATAGTATCCTAGGCTAAATGCATAAAGCTGATTGGTAATTCAAGCACTCAAGGGGATTGATGTCTGAGAGCCTCGTCCTGTTCCAGCAAAATCAAATAGGACTTTTAGGCTACCGTCCGGATTAAGGACGAGCCCCGGGAAAAGAGAGAGGAACTTTTTAAATGTCCCGGGGCATGAGAAAGGAAGTGAAGTGGACAAACAGTCGCGTGCTATATTTTGGGTAAACTTACCTGGCTGGTTGCCCGACTTGTGCAAAGGGCTGAAGCGACGGACCAATCAGGGCCAGTCTGTCAGGCCACTGGTTTCCTAATCCAGCAGGATGCCCGCTCAGCACCATGCAGGTCTAGCCTAGCCTAGGCTCCTCCTAGCCAACCGACCCTAACTGTGCCGCCGCCACCACCGTCGGGTTGGCTCGCCTTGAGGCTCTGCTTTCGTGATAGTAACCCCCCATGTTTAATATCAGGCGTCTATGTGGGTTGGTGTTATTAGCAGTTAGTTGATGGCAGTTGTTCTTAAAACCCCAGGTGGTTGTCCTTCTCCTCCCCCCGCTTTTTGCTACGATAGTTTCCCCTTTCGTGCTACTCCTTCTCGACACTCGTTTTTCTTTCTCCTTTCTTCTATCTTGCTTATTGTGATACATTTCTACTCTCACGTCTACTACTGCTTACGCCTCACCCACGTCCCTCCTCATCATCAACACCATGCTCGCCAACCTCAAAACCCAGGTCCTGGCCTCGCTGCTCCTCGCCAGCAGCCTCGTCAGCGGCGCCGTGATCCAGGACCTGTTCCCCGAGCCCGTCGCCGACGGCACCGTGAAAGTGTACAAAGTGGACAACGGCAACGCGCACGGGCGCGTGATCATCAGCGGCGGCAGCTCGTCCAAGGCCTCGGCGACCGCCGGCAGCATCTCGGACAACGCGTGCTTCATCGAGACGGGCGAGTTCCCGCGGGCGTTCTTCAAGCGGCCCGAGGCGGACCAGTGCTTCAACATGGCCGCCTTCCACAAGCTCAAGATCTGGAAGGCGGCCAAGTGCGAGGATGGCACTGATGCTATGCTCGCGCGCTACGACGCCCCCGCCTGCGCCGGCGAGCCCGCCATGCTCGATGTCGTCGGCGAGGACATGCTCCGCACCTGCCTCGACATGCCGACTAAAGAGCCTTCCAGCTATGCGTTCTGGTGCTCGGGCGAGATCAAGGAGCCCAGCGTGAAGGGGGCCGCCGCTAGCGATGTGGACAATGGCAACGGCAGCGGCTCGGGATCGCGGAAGAAGGGTGGACTGGGCACTTTCGTGCTGGTCCTGTCGATCTTTGGTCTGGTGGGCTTGATGATGCTTGTGCTTACGATCTACCGCTGTCTGAAGATGTCACAATGGTTCCTGGTAAGTGCAAATGACCTGTAAGACAGCTTGAGGTACATGGTCGCTAACAGGTTTATAGTCACTGTTCAACAAGGACGGCCCTATCACTCTGAACTAGGCGTCCTTTCGATTTCGGTCATCTGCCAGCATGAATGAGCTCGGCCCTGCAAATTGGTGGATACGAGTTGCTTACTTCCACGGATGCGTGTGATAACTGGATATAACGAATGGTTGTCGATGTTGAGTCTATGTCGTTTAGCGCTAAGTATCATGCTAGTTTTTGAAAATCATGTTTTCTCGAAGGCTATACGAATGAAGATTTGAATGTTCACTTAATATGAGCGCCCTATTCCTATACTAGGTCACGTTTGCCTTCGATACTTGAGCATAATTCAGGTGAATACTTCTTAGATATCTAGTTAATCTAACAAGCAATTCCTCCAACCGACAAAAGGTTAAGGAAATATAGATGTCATGCTATGTTCTCATAAGCAACATACTATGATTGTTTCGTAGGAAATGCACGAAACAATGCAGATTCTATAATGGTAAGTCCGATATTTAACAGCCTCTCGGTAAGCCCAATATCTCCTCAGGCCGTTGGCCGTTGGCCAATTTGTTAGAGCAATATCCCCAGACACGTTATTACGCTCCGGCCTCTGTATACTTCTGTGAAATCAATGAACAGGGGTGCAACTTAGTATCCTTTCATGAAAACCTAGAAGTATCGGGAAAGCAAGCCTCAAGTCCGGCGGTACTGCTATCTCATATTTTACATCACATTATCAATGGTTCAGGGGTACACTGGATACATAGATTTTAGGGTCGACATGATGGTTTGAAACACAACTAAATTTATCACTCCATGTTTTTAAATTGTCTATCCAACTTACTCATTATACAAGCAGTAGTTATCTTTATGTCCAATATACCTCCTGTTTTTATATACTCCCTCCAAAACATGCAATGCATCTTAAGACTGCTTCTTCTCGGTGCTAACCTTCTTCACAGAGCCAGGGGGCGCCTTGAGCCCGGCAAACACGACCAGCGTGACTGCCAGCATACCCAAGGAACCGACACCGTATGCGAACTCTCTGCCAGCCCACCAGTACACACTGGTAAACAGAATCGGGCCAAGTCCTCGGCCCAATTGCCCCCAACTTCGCAAAATGCCAAGCTTTCCACCCCGTTCACCTTCGCTAGCTTCAAAGCTGGCCAGCGTGTTGAGGCCGCTCACGACGGTAGCTGAAGTCGTCGCCAAACAGGTAGCCGCCAGATATAAGGAACCAACAGTGTTGATCTGGCCTAGCATGATGAATGCGACAAGACATGCACCAACGCCGATCTGAACAGTTCTCAGGGGCGGCATGCGACGGGTAACACCACCCTGGAGGATAGAAGCAACCAGCCCAATATAACCAAGCAATCGGCCGTTCTTGGCCGAGCTATACTGGAAGAGATCGTAGGTCATGAAAGGTAGAGAAAATTCCATGCCGGAGAAGAATAGGAGGAACGCAAAATGCACCGCATTCAGGAGGAAGTGTGAGTTGGTGCGGACTGTAGGTGCTGGTTTAGATGTCTTTTTGTCGCCCACCTTAGTCGATTTCGCTGCCAATGTCTCGGGGAGCGCAAAATATAGATACAAAGTTTCGGTCACGATGAGGAACAGCGAGAAGCCGGCAGCGGTAGCAAAAGGGTTCGCGGCTACCGTGGCGATGGAGCTGAGGAA